TCTGCGTCACTTTACTGCGCAATTTACCTGATCTGCTTGCCACGGATCTCGTGTAGACTTATCTGCAACAGACATTCTGCGACGCCCACGCCAGTGTTGTTCAGCTTGCTATGGTCATGTCCAATTTGTATGCTGATGAACTGACAAGCTACTCAGAGATTTCAAATGTTAGTCCCTCTGTGCTAACACGATCTGATAATGTCCTGGCTTCCGCCTGAGAAAACAAACAGCGCTCGTCCAGCGCCGGGCCCTTCCATTGTTCGAGTCCGGCGGCCGCCCTGGGCCGGAGAGTGTGCCAGTTCTCAGGCCTGTGGGACGTGCGACTGCTATTGAAGCCAAGTGGACCCGCGTGAGGTGGTCATCCCGCTGAATTTGCTGTCATACACTGTGCTCGGTCCCGTTCTCAGGGCTCGCCGCTCGTGCTGATGACATGGTACGGTCCACCGTCGTGTAGGTCGGGCGAACATCGAATATTGCCACCGTGGTGTGACCGCCTGAACTGCACCCGCACCTGCAGAGCGTCGGTAGTCGTCACCGACGCGGTCGGTTGGGTGGCGTGGGTGGTGCGGTGGGGCACAGCCTGTGTCCACCTGGCGCCCCGCCCTCCCCTTCCGACTGTTGGCACAGTCTCTGACGCTTCCTCACTGCAACTGGAGGAAGGACGGTGTGCCGGAGCAGCTGGTGTGCAGAGGCCGCCGGCCCACCCACCGCTGTGTAGATACATGCATGCGATGGCTCCAGCTCTGCTTGCACGAGCCGTGAATAGTTCTTCTGATGTGGCTGACTGATTCGCTGCTACTACAGGCGGCGGCAGCGGCGTTCTCCCATGATCGACACCATGAGGTCACCGGCCGCCAGAGGTGACTCCGGGAAAAGTCTGGTTACTCCTCAGCTGTGACTACTGACTATGTTACCGGGCCCCGCTTCCCCAGGTCCTGCCAATGGGCAATGCCGCCATTGTAGCGGCAGGACTGGGGCGGTGGCTCAGCAGAGCAGCGCTGAGGGTGGACAGCGCTCTCCCCGGCAGAGGTCTGCCCTGCTGCACCTGCATCAGTGAGCCACTTCGGCTGGGAGGCGATGACTAACAGCCAACTAATGACGCATTGTGAAGTGCATTCTACTCCTAAATGGTCACAGGCTGCTATTGCATATTTGAGACGATGGCAAATCCATTCTGACCTTTGCTTTGCATTTTCATCCTTGCATTTCACATGCTTCACGAGAGACACTTAGCATGTTTCATAATTGCGATGCCAAGCATCCTTCTCCCCGAAATGCTTACACACACATTTCATTTTGTAGCATTTTATTTGTGCATTTGTAGATTCCTCGCCTGGATAAGGGGCATTTCTGCGGGTCACCGATGACCGTAAAGACCTTGGTATCTATGCGGATCTGGGCCCATTGTTCGCTGTCGTTTCCATCCCGTGAGCACGACGCTTTTTCGCCGGCGCCGAGACACCCACATTCCGTGGCGCCTTTTCCACGCGTCCACTCGACTCGACCCCGATCCTGGCTGCCGAGTCATCGAATCGAGTCGGCGGCTCACCGAGTCACTAAACAGTCGTCTGTCGCTATATCGGGGAGCCGGCCGTAGCGGGTGGAGCGGCGGGAATCCGTCCGATTTTCTGTCATCAGTAGATAGCGCTGCGCTGGTGCAGCAGGGGTTCACGGACCCGGGCTGAGTGTGGCAATTGAAAAATGTATGTAGGTACTAATCAATAAATGTTTTTAACAGACAGACATTCTAAACGCGTTTAGTTTGTAGAAATGGTACAGGCCCGTATAATTTAACTTAAATGATAGTTATGGTGACTGTCGTTTTAGTCATGAGGGACAAGATTTTTGGAAGCTAGGACACATTTATTTCAATCAAGCTTGAAACGTATTTCGATGACATATTAAGGACAATTCTACTGAAATGCCCTAGGTGAATGTCAAAAAATCTTGTATTTGTATTTGGGTGCTGTAATCGGGATTCGTGCCAGTTACCGGACATGGTGTGGGCGCTATCTTGGGAAACCCTCCTTCCGATCAAAACAAGCAGTCACTGAAGTCATGCATTTTGGCATTTGCAAAAGGGCAAACGGTTGCAGGTGTCTGGATAGGCATCTGAAGGGGCGTTTTTTGGCGGACTTGGGTAATATTCACGCCCAAAAGGCTGGTCAGGCGCACGACGTGTGTTTTTGTTTACGACACGTAATACTGGTGACGGTGAAATAACTCTGCATGCCGCGCTATTCTGACTGAATCCCTGAGCCCCTGGACCTTGTCTGAGCCCCCCTCGCCCTCTACCTGTGACCCCTCTCGCCCTCTATCGTCGGAAGTGGCGTGTTTCCGGCCCCGCTCGTCATTCATGAGCTGCTGAAAACGTGTCAGTCCTTTCGGTCACGGTCGGCCTACCTGCCACGTCCTGGCGGCGGCGCTGTGGTATGATTTCCATGACCGCAGTGACACAGGCCCTGGCAGCCCGCGTCGGACTGAAGGTTACCCTGCCGGCAGCGCACAGTCCCTTCCTGAGAGAATAGGTGCCGTCTTTAGCGCTTCTGTCCGCATTCGTCTGAGCCTCCGTCCCCGCCTCTTAACCCAGGTGAGAATGCGCGGATTGGGGAAAAGCGCGAATACCAGGCCGATTTTCCGGCCGGTCCGCTCAGAGACGCTCAGCTGTTCTCGGGACCGACGGGCGTGTGTGCCGACAGCTGCGCCGATTTCGCGGTCGGTGCGCGAATTTCACCGCCGCTGCGCCGTGTTTCGTCACCGCGGCGCCATGGATGTCGCTGCCCGCTGATGGTGTTATTACGGCCGACCGTGCTCGCGGTGCCGTTCTCTTCCTGTCGTCGTGGCGCAACGCACTGCGGCTGGGCCGTTGGCCAACAGCGCGCGGTCGGCGGCTCTCGCGGCCGCGGTCGGAGACGCGGCTGAGATGCGCCAGCTGCGGTGATATAATTTGGTAGCGGCGACCCGCGGGGGCTGAGGTAACTCGGCGGCGCGCCTGGCACGCGCTCGTGCAGCGTGGTCCGTCCCACAGCAGCGTCACTGACTGATGTGCAGGTGACGGGTAACAGGCGGTGGTGTGGCCGAGGTCATGACCCCGTGACCCTGGTTACATGGGTCGGCCGGGTCACGGGCCGTCCAGCCGCCGACAGCCTACGGCTGCGGAATTCCGCCGGAACGGGGCGCGCCTCGGCACCGCGAGTAGGCAGGAACCGCCCTCAGTCCACCGCCACCGCGGGAGTCGCCGCTACTGATACCGACCGCGCGGCCGACAGCGAGCCTGAACTATCTCCAACTCTGGTTCTATGTGGCTCTGTAGATCATAACGTAACGCCTGTCGTGGTAGATTTCGTCAGCACTCCTCCCAACCGAGATTGGGTCATGAAAACTGCGTGGATGGCGGGTGCTGGGAACATGACTCGGAGCGTATTGCCGCCACGTGCTGGGGACTGGCGCCCCTGTCTTTGCCCTCTGCGAGCAGCTGGGGAGGTCGCTCCGCAAATAGCCTCCCTGTGTGAGAGCGGCCGTCCCATCGCCCCGCGCGTGGCCGGACTGCTCGGCCCCCGGCTCCCAGGCTCCGTAATGCACCTGAGCGGGTCACGACCTGTGACGTCACTCGGCTCGGGAGTACGGGGAATATTGTTTACATGGCGTGCATGCTGTTCACATTACTGTCAGCTCCTGCCACTATAACCGACAGTAGCGGACAAAGCAGCCTCACGCTACCCGTGATATGTGGGGCGGCGGAACCTCCTGGAATTCTCGACTCCGGTCAGTTCTCTCTGATCTAGTTTATCAGTCGGAGTGCTGTCTGGTGGCCCCCGGAGCGCTGTCTGACCACTGTTTAACGACCACCGCCAGAGGAGATCGTGCAGTTCCACTTCAGAACCTAACCCATAGCGTTCCTCGAACCGATTCCAGGGGAGGGAATGCCGAGTGTGTTCAGCCGCCACACCCAGCCACGGCCGCGCCGCTGGTTATCCACCCGTGCCATGCGGAGTCGTCACTGTTACCACTGCACCGGGCGGTGGATGGTGGCTTAGGGTGATAGTCGGCGGGCGATGGGCGATGGGTGGTAGTCGGCGGGCGATGGGCGATGGGCGGTGGGTGTCGGACGGTAGACGGTGGGCGGCGTACAGTAGACGGTGGGCGGCAGAGTGTTCGAGCGCTCGAGTGACCGCTCCACGCCCTCCCATCTCGTCATCTCCCGACGAGCGGCGGCCGGACGCTGCAGCGGCAGCATTCCTCTGTAATCGTTATGCGGCCGGCGCGGTGGTGGTACGATGCGAGGCGTCCCCTCCCCTCCCCTCCCCGCTCCTGCCGGCGGCGGTGCGCACCAAGGCCAGGAGTCGCCGCCGGCGCTGCAGGGAGAGGTACTCGAGCGTACCCCCCGAACAATGCTGTAGCGGTAGCCGCGCTGCGGTTCCGGGTGCGTACAGAGCAGCCTCCGTGACGCTGAGGTCGGCCGCGCCGAGCGTCACGGCACGGAGGTGGGACGCGGCCCTCTGGCGGCCGCTGGCCCGCGCGGCGCCACCTCCGCACGCCTTTGTCCGTCGGTTGCCGGCGCGGCCGTGCGGCGGTGTGGCGAACGGCGCCGGACTCCTGGGACACTAATGAGCCTGCCCCCCATGGTGGAGATGGAGATGGGACTGTGGTCTACTGGACCTCAGTGTAGACCCTGATCCCTGGTCCATTCCGGGCTGTCTCCGCACTACGAGCCGCTCGGTCAGACTGCCCTCCGCTGTCTCTTCCCGCTCCGCTCAGACCCCGGCGCCCTGCCCCCACTGTTAGAGCCGCTCCCTGAGATGGGATGGGGTGTCCCGCGGGCCGCACCGCGTGTGCGCCGGGCAGCGGCCTTGCGCGCGGCGCCGGCGGCGCGGCGGTGCGCCAAGGCCGCGCGCGCTGCCGCTGCCGCCGCCCGGCTGCCCCCGCGGCGCCGCGCCGGCCGTCGGCAGCGTCACGGACCGCGCGGCGCGCCAGTACTGGGCGCGCGGTGCCGCAGGTGTGGTCGCTCTCGGCGGACCGAGCGCAGTGGGCAGTGTGGTGCCACCGGACTGACGGGTGCGAGCGGCGGTGACTTCCCGCCGCGACAGGAGGATTACTCGGAGCGGTGAGTGGCCGCTGTTGTCCGGCGGTGTGCGTTTCCGCGCCATGGCGCTGAGCGCGCGGCCCGACCGGCCGGGCGGGAGGGGTTCCTAGCGGAGTTGGGCAACTGCGGGCGCCGCTGCGTTTCCCTGTTGCGATATGGTCGCAGGGTGGGAAGAAGCATCATCCGGTGGTGTTTCGCCACTGATGTTTGAGCCGAGGCCCGGAATCAGACGCTAAGCTCGCTCTGGCTTACCGCGGCTCTTGAGATTTCGCCTTCCAGGCTTCAGCTATCTCAAGAGTCGTGCTCAGCTTGATCTGACCGTGGCTGTGAGCTCAGCTGGCTGTAGCTGGGAGCTCAGCTGACCGTAGCTGGGAATTTAGCTAGCCGCAGACTCGGGACGGTCCGCCACGGCAGCTCTGCCGATGCACTGCTCGCTGCCGCTGCCTATCGGTCTCAGTTGACCGCCCACCGGCGCCGCGGACTGCGGAGCCGGGCCGTCCGATCCGCGCCGCAGCCCACGCCGCCCTCCCCACCGTCCGGTTCTCACCCTCCCCCTCCCTCCCCGCAGCTGTCATGAGCGGGTGTCAGTCCGGCCGGTAGTCTATCAGCACCGCGCGGCCCGTTATCGTACCGCCGAGTGTCGCCACTTGTATCTTATCTGCACGGCCGCCGCGCCGCGGGGAGGTCGGCCGGTGCAGTACTCTGTGTGGACGGACTGACGGCGGACCGTCCGGCGCCCACCGCAGTGTCGAGACGGAGCTGCCCCGGTCAGGGCTCTGAGAGGAGTGCGGGACGCTGGGGAGAGCTGAAAGTGTTTGGAGGACTGAGTGATAGAAGTGCGTGCGCCTCTTGTGGAGTGCACGAGCAGAGGAGCGTGTAAGTACCGGCTCATTCGAATGGTTTGCAGCCCCTCGCTGTGCAGCGAAGTGCCCACATAAGCCCTCCGTAAGTGACTGTGTACTGTCACCATGCGGCCTGCATTTACAGACTTTTAGGACCACCATCCACTTGCCACCTCCAGCTACCCAGCGCGCTCTGAGCACACAGAGACAGTCACTCCCCACAGACGACTAACCATCCCGTCTCTGCTGTTTTCAGGGCGGACAGTGGCCTCTCTCGAGCTCCCCGCTGAGTGAGTCGGGTCAGTGAGGCGCGGCGCTGGGTCAGTGAGAGGGTCAGTCAGTGAGGCGGCGGCCTGCAGCGCGGGCGGCCGGCGCCATGCCTGTGTCGGCCAACTTCAGTATGGAGGCGTACAGCAGCCGCGGGGAGCGCGGCCGGCGCAGCAGCGAGTCCTCGTCGGCCTCGGACGCCACGCGAGAGGTGAGCAACGCCGGGGGGTCGGCGGGGAGGGGGCACGGGTCGGCGGGGCCGGGGTCGGTGCGCGGGTCGGTGGGGGTCGGGGCACGGGTCGGCGGGAGGGGGGGGGACGGGTCGGTGGCGGTCGGGACACAGGTCATCTGTAGATTAGGGCACAGGTCAGCGGAGGTCGGGACACGGGCCGACCGATGTAGCTGGTATTGATTCATGGTGCCGGTCAAGGATGCGTGCGGAAAGAGGTTCTGTCAGGGTTGTGAGCTTTGTTTCAGACTGTGACGCTAGGTCATGAGAATGAGAGGTCGTATCAGAACTGTCAGGGCAGTACTGCCAGGTCGTATCCGGTTTGTCAAGTCAGGTCAGGACTCAGGTCTCTGAGACCGGATCAGGGATGCATGCATGTATGGTATTCTGCGAGGTGGCGTGTCAGCACTGTCCCATTGAAATCACACCTCTATTGAGGTCGATATGTGAAGGACTCCCACTATTGATGTTTGTCCGTGGCGATACCGGGGCGCCGGGGTCGCTGCGCCCCGGTCCACTGCTGCGCCATGCACCGCTGCGATGTTAGCCTATCGAGATCAATGTTTACCCCTTCCACTCCCCGGAGGGCGAACAAACGCCGGGGGACTCATACCAGGCTGCTGGCAGTCAGTCTGTTTACAGAATTGGCATACACGGTGGTTAACAAACTTAATCCTCAGGGTGACTGAAAGTCACTTGATTTGCACCGGATATCTGTTGTATCTTTTGGTAAACGATCGGCAGAAATTCGTGGAAATGAGGAAACATTTGGAGGATTAGCTGCTACTTATGCACACATTGTCCCTGTAATGAAACCATGCTCCTACTGTAGAATCATATAGACATTTCCTCCTTCCTTGCACAAATGTACATGGGTACTTACATGACGCTTTGCACAAAGATACAATTTTGCTGAATTGCCCCTTAGATATGTCGATGCAGAAAGGGTCTCGAAGAAGTGGTGGGAAGTAGGCTTGATTGTGACACACTGCACTGCCAATTGGCCGAACGCTAGTGGTGTGTGACTTCTGAGCGAGAAATTGAGTGGCAAAGGTCCGCCATTGAGTTAGAACGGTCTGCACATGTACATATGTATATGACCTGAGGCCGGGTGGCAGGACATTTCAGTGGTCTAACGGACTGTGCATGTGCTAACACTTAAAGGCCACCCCACACTGGACCTCGCATGCGGGTTGCGAGTTTTTGGGTTTTCGGGTTTCTTCAAAAGTAAATAATACATTCTAAGCTGAGTGACCCGCACTACCATATAACAAGCGAGTCTGCATGTTTTTAGGTTGTGAGCCACCTTGCATCGCATTCCAAAAGTTGATTTTCAGTCAACTTTCGATTTTCCTCGCTGCGAGGTCTGCGAGTTCTGCGAGGTTTACTGGTTTTTCGTTTGAGTCGAATTTTGGTTCGTTGCGCTGGTATTGCGACTATATGTAATTTTCTGAAGGTGTAGGTACCGGCTTCACTGCATTCATGAAGTTACCATGAGGGAACGGTCTAATCACTCTATGAATTAGTATAATGCCCGCAAACTCGCTACCCGCATCACGCATGCGAGGTCCAGTGTGGGGCGGCCTTTAGTGGCACTGAACGTCTCTCTCAGCAACTCTGCTGCCTTGTTACGATACCCGTATACTTATGTGGCAATTAGCCACCCTGTAATTGCGTCAGTCGTGAGTTTACCGTAATTTTGCAATGTGCCTCGGACGCTGTACAGCTTTTTCACAGGCGAACCGATGCCTTTTGTGCGATTTGTCTCTTTCCTCCTTCTCAGACATCTGTCTATATGTTACAGACCGTATGAAAACCCAGTCCGTTTGCAAACGGCCTGGCCCAGTCAGGCCGTTTGAAAACGGCCTGAAATAGCCGGCCGTTTGCAAACCGCCTGAAATATCAGGCCGTATGAAAACGGACTAGGCAGTTTGAAACGGCCTAGACGGTTTGAAAACGGCCTAGTCAGTTTTCAAACGGTCTGTCGAAGTACAACAGCCTCTGAAGATAATCTAATAGATCCAGGTTGGCCGGTGATCAAGTTGTATCCATGAATGCTTGCGCATTCTGCCGAATGACTCGTCGATGTCGAACATTGTCTTACTATGCAGATGCTCTGCCCGGCCGTGTTCCCGACAATATTACTAATTATATACATAAGTTCTCGGTCCGCCTCTTTACGGCCATCCAGTTGATGGAGCCTGGTGAAGCCACTACTGGTGAGGTCTGGTGAAGCGTATTACTACAAGACTCACCGATTACCTATTTTGCGGAACAGTATAAAACGCAGAAGCTCACAATGGACATTAGAGTTGACATTAGAGTCCTCACCGCGCCCGGTCGACCGCCGGCGGCTGGCCGGTGGCGTACGCCGGCGGCGGCAATATACTTGACCATATTGCGGTGGAAGGCGAACTTTGAAGTCCCAGGCCGACCGGGCGCTATACGGGCCGAGACTCAGTTCTGCCAATCTCTTCCTGAGCAGAATGTCATGAAACGGTCGTGCTTCAACAAACTCAACATTGTCCAGCTATCTTCATGCAGACCAGATCGTTTTCAAAGTGCCTAGACCGTTTGCAAACGGCCTGGTGTCCCGAAAGTTGTCATACGGCCTAGACGGTTTCCAAACGGCCTGAAATTTCAGGCGATTTGCATACAGCCTGGAATTTCAGCCCGTATTCAAACGGCCTGACTTTTCACTCCGTTTGCATACTGACTGGGCTGTCCAGGCCGTTTGCAAACGGCCTGAATCGGACCAGGCCGTTTACAAACGGACTGAGTTTTCATACGGCCTGTAACATATATAGGGAAACCGTGGCGGTGGCCTGGGCAGTTCGCTATCAAAACTTCCCTGATGTAAATCTGACGCAATATCCATACCCAGAACCGCCCTTTAAGGTGACTCTCCCCCGCCCGCCCTGTGCTCTTCTACCGCCCTCCGCCCTCAACCCACCGCCCACCGCCCGCCGTCCACCGTCCGCCGTCCACCGCCCACCGTCCACACCTTCCATCGTCTCGTTGTCCCATCGCCACTCCTGCTCCTTACCAATCCTCCTTGCTTCTCCCTTCAGGAATGTCCCCAGGCCTGGTCTAACTATTTCGACATCCGAACGATTCCCAGGACCCAGTAGCGGTGCAGTATAGCGCCAGAAGCTCACGTTCCTATCATCTCAGTGAATAACCTGCCCTGACGTGTCTCACTCTCGATTCTCTGTTCTTGTCCACTGTCACTGATATGCCACGCTGTGACTGTGCGGAAGGAGGATTCATACTGCGTTTGTCCAATTCAGTGACGCGTGGCTCTGAATCCCGATCACGGGCGCGGCCGTGCTATCCGGACCGATAGAAGTCAGCGGGGAGGGTGGGGTTATCGTGCAGTCGGTTCATCCGCCGCCCTTGCCGGGGTCGCTCCGATAGCGGGTAGGTGACTCGTGGCAGTCTGATAGGCTCCATACAGCTGTATGTTGACTAATCGGCGCTCGATGTGGCTGGTAGAGCTCTTTGTTAGTGTGCGTATTTAGGGGGCCCACAGAGATTGGACCGGATTTGGGCAGTGTTAAAAGCTCGTGTCGGTGGTATCGTGTGGTGTGTTAAAAGTTAAAACTTCTGCCTCTGCTGGTGACGTCGCTATCAGTAGGTAGGTCACACAACGTCGGCTGGGTGGGTCACTGAATTGGTAAATCGGTGTTGGGTGGAGCGGCGACCTAGGCAACAGCCGACAGATCACTTGAAATGGAACGGGTGATGATGAATAATGGATATTGATGTGTGAGTTTCGACAAATTTCCGCCGAGGAATATGTAGCTGAACGTGACTTGGAATGCTAAGTCAGCATGCCTGCTGATTAACAATGCGCGAATTATCATATTCATACAAACATTGACAAATCTCTGTGTATCCAAGCTGCTGGCTGGTCAGTTGGCGTTGCTCAGTGACTCGCTCGTTGCCCGGTGACCACTGCTCGGAGCCCCGGTCGGTCGGCGAGCCACGCCCTGGTGGCGGCGGGTGCCGGCCTGCATGCACTCACTGAGCAGAACTGGCCGGCCTGCACACTCGCAAATTGGCCCACCATTCAGCGGCGTGGCCATGAGTCAGGCGGCGCGGCAGATGTGCCAGTGTGTTCTCCCCGGCCGACCGGGTCCTTGGGCGTGCCCACTTATCAACAGAGCTAATGAACAAGCTTGTCAGTATTTATGGCCCTTCCAGAGCGCACTGACGCGGGAGGCGCCTACTGAAGGGCCGAGCTACAGACGTAAGGGAACCAGACCGAGCGGAGGTCACTGCTGGCGGTAACTGGCGTCGGAAATTCGCAGTGATCAATCTACTTTTTCAGCCAATTTGTATGCTTTTATGTCTGGCGGCACGGTTTTTAGCCTATATCGATGTTTTTGCAATTCTTTTTTCTGTATACATCGGTGGTTAATGCGATTGTTTTGTTCGGGTCTGTTATCATAATCTCCGTCGATCTGAGATCGGGATTTGATCCGCGCCGGGCCTGTGTCCGATCGTGACCTGGGCCGGGCGGTGACTGGACCAGATCTGTGGGGCCGACCGGCTGGGCGGGGCGGCACAAACACCGAGCGCTAATCGGCCTGTGTCGCCGGCCCGGTGTGTCATGGCTCGCTGTACCCGCGTTAGCCGCGCGGCGTGCTGTGGCGTGCCCGCGACGTACCGGCGGCGTGTTGCCGAGTGCCGTGCTATCCGGAGACAGATCTGTCCAGGGCGACACGCCCCTGGACGGCCGGCCACCGCCGCGGTTCCCGGAGACCCGATGGGACCGACACGCCCCGGTCGTGATCAAAAAGTAACAAACAACTCGCATCACTCACGGCATGTCCAGTGTGCGGCGCGGAATTAAATCGGCGAGATTATGCGATTCGAGGACTGAGGACGGATATTGCGATCAGTCAACCATAATGGGAAGCGCTGGAAAGCCGACCCGAGGCGTTTTTATATGCGCTGTAACGATTGTTGTATTTACG